AACTTGGAAAACAATTTCTGTTGTGAAACAGTAGATTTTAGAAATAACTCTTATTTTCTTCTGGAAAAAACAGTGGGGATCATATGATGAACTCATCCATGGCTCTCACTTGAACTCAGATAAGGCTACAGTGTTATAATTCAGAGATTGGAAAAATATTCACTGAAATTCTGAAATTTTCAATTATTTGTTGTAAAGCATATAGAATAGTATCTAAAAAGTGTGTAAATCACCATTTTAAATGCTCCTTCTCATTTGCTATGACAGACAAATCAGTAACAGGCAAGTTAAAATATTATTAAAGATCTTGTATCAAAATTGTATTGCCAGAAATATAGCAAAGTTTGCTGAGAATCTTTGCATACAGCAGTTAAAAAAAAAATCTAATCCAGAACATATTAGAAGAGCAACTATAATGCCCTGTATTATTCCTTTCAATATACCAAAATTAATTAGTGGCATGGTAAAAAATGAATTCATGATACACATTTAAGAGGGAGCACCCCCTAAGCCTTTTCCATTTGATATAAAGTTATCACTAATGTTATCACACATACTGATCGCTTTATTCATTTTTTTCTCAATGCATCTATAAGATAGAAAACTTATTGGACTAAGAGGAAGGGAAATTGGCATTGCCAAAATCAGTGCTTTTCAACTTTTAACTTCTAACTTCCAGTCTTAGTAAGAATCTCCAAAATCTGCACAAATTACAGTTTAAAAATGTAAATCAAAACAAATACTTTTAATTAAATGAAGTAAATGTGGCCAGAGAACCCTAATACTCTTTGCTCACTACATATCATTATTTTTATATATCATTATTATATCAACACTTTATTTTTAAAGATGAGCTTTCCGATGTCTGCAATTCTATCTTGAGGCAGATGATGGGTGAACAGGCACTAACAACAGTGACACTACCAGTTACAACAAAACTCTTTCTTGGGGCAGTTGAGTATCACATCAAGGAAGAAAGGTTCTTCTGATCTATGACTTTTTAATACAGAGTAAACTTTTAACAAACCACTCAAAGAAATTTCATTGATGAAGAAGTTACTGTCTTGTCAGATACCATATGGGGTTAGTATCTTCCTTTTCTCTGGAAGACAACTGACGAAAAAGGTTAGCTACATGAAGTATCAAATGCTTAGACATAGTGCCAAAAATTTTTCAATTTTGATTAAAAAAATATTTTCCAATCATTTATATTTATTTTCTGCAATATAATATTCTTTGGATGGAATTATTAAAACAGCAAGATATTTTTTCTATCTAAGTTCATCTGTTTCATATGACAAAGAAAAAAAAAGCCAAAAAAAGCACCAATTCTTGGCATTAGGTCTTTCTAGAGACTTCATAGATGAATATAAATAAGTGAAAATCATGCTATGACGACTATGGATAAAATAGTCTTCTATATTCCATTAAAAAAAAATCAGATTTAAAAAATGCTAAATTGGATTTTTTACTGTGTGTCTAGCTATATACTATGTACTATCATTTGTGAGGGAAATACTACATGAGGCAGAAACCACGGTGTCTGAACTGCACTATCTGAAGAGCAGATAGCCTGAAATAATTGCCAGCACTCCAAAATTTGTGTACAATGTGCAAAAAGTAACACTAGTTGTTTCACAATTGGAATTTCATTCCCACAGATTTTATAGTATTTTTCCAGTTCTGTTGCAATAACTTTAACAATTTGGATCACTGGAGGTACTAAACCAAGTAAAGAACATTATTTTGGTGTACCTCTTGGCATCTGGCTAGCATCTGTTGTTTATTTAGGAAGTTCACATAAAATTTTATATGAAACCACTCTTTCTATTGTTCAAAATATTTAGTATTGATCCATTTCCCACACATGGTAGACTCTGAATTCAGAGTGTAACAAAGTGCTTGCTCTGAGATGCAAGCCATGAATAAAACTATTCATATCGGGAATCTCAATGCAATCTAGTAAATAAGAGTATTTAATAATTCCCTAAATATTGGCCTCCTGATTCTGCATCATAGTGAAAATGACTGTATTTCGCGTGTCGCTGCAGCATGCATATATGCTGCCTGTTGGTGAGGGAGTACTGGTACAAGAAAGCCAGGCCACCAAACGATAGTGAGGGAGTGCAGAATCCTCGAAGGGGGAACTAAAGCAAATTCCAAACATCAGTGCAGAAACTGTACTCAAAATGGCAATTATTCTGTTCACACAGCTGCAGCAACAAGTATGTCAAGCATCAAGTTAAAGCAGGATACCTGCCATGTTGGTTGATAATTTTAAGAATTTTTTTCGTCTTAAAATACTACAATACAGAAACAGATTATTATAGTATTCTGAACAAAGAATAAAACCACAAAACAGATGAAACCTTTAAATATCATTAACACAATCAAATCCTTGAAGTGTTTTGCTATCTAAGTTTGTCATCAGAGATGTCAATATCAGAAAGAGCATGGTGACTGACAGAATATGTCAATCTCAGAAAGCTGCTTCAGCCTGTACAATACATGCTCAAAGTTGGGGCAGACTAAAAGGGAGATGAGCAGTATTTCTTGTATCCACGCAACCATTATTATACTATTCACACATACTACCCATTGCCACATCATCATTAACAGACTACCGCAATAAGGAAAAAGTTGCAATCAGGTTACATGAAGAGGACTGAATATCCCTGCTGATTACAAATGACAGCTGATTTTTTTCAGTCAGGCCTGCACTTAGAAAATGCACTAACTCAGAAGACAAGTGAACACTCCTTGGAAGCAGGAGGGTCAAACTCAGTGCTATTTTCTTCACATCCCATATGCAAGCAAATCAACACAGTCTAATTAAGTGTTTCCCTTGATCTATCACCACATACCTTCACTATGCCATTGTAAATATTCCTCAAAAATAGATAAGCACATACCTACTGTATCATTAACTTGACACTGAGTTAAAAGGTGCCCACCAGGTATTACACAGCACAGTCAACTGAACCACACACCTGCAGGCACTGAGACATCCATATGCTGATGCTGGCTTTGAAACTAATTCTGTTGGTCTACTACAGGAAAACAAGATCTAACATAGAAGCATAGGGGTTTAAATGTGTTCTGTTTGACAGCAGTCTCAAGTATTCTTGTTTCCTCAAGAACCACATTCAGTTGAATTTCTACTAACCATCATCAAAGTTCCTAATAAAATAATACTGGTATATTAGATACTCATAAGTAAGTAAAAATTAATTTCAAGCAGATCACTTCATAATTCTCTTTCATTGACACCATTATGGTCTTGGACGTGTGGGAAGTCTTGGTTATCAGCTTCACTTACCAGTCTGGGTCTCTGCTTTTGGCATACCTTCCAAAAAAAATAGCTTTTCTGTTCCTTTTATCCTCCCCTCTTTGAACATACTGTTTTCACCATTGTGAGCCCTCTTTTAATTTGCTCCAGCAACACTCAACACAAGGAAAGACCACCTTGGACAATGAGTCCTGTCTTCTGCAAAAGACATTAAGTCTGGCAGGGTCTCAAGAAAAGCTATTTAACCACAGACCATCAAATACTCTTGGCCCCCATGCCTTTCAGTCCACAACAAACTTAAAAGCCAGTAGTGAACTGCTACAGCCATAGCTAAAATATGCCAGAGGAAAAAAGTGGGAGACACTAAAGACAATCCTTGACGTCTTCAATTCCCTGCTATTGCAGGATCATAATTAGATTCAATTTTCAAATATTCCTCGTTAACAGACCATGTCCATGTTACAGGAAACACCCATGAGTCTTCGCTATTCTTGTTTGAGGGAAATTCCTTCCTGACCTCAAATCTGGACATGGGATGAACACCAAGAGCATGTCCATGACGTTTTTAATCAAGACCTTTTTAAACCACTGAGAGTTAGACCAAGCTTTGAAGTATAACATTTTTTTGCTGTTCTCCACTGACAGCTGACTCCACCATAGCCTAATTCAAACCAGGAAAGTTTGTAAATTTTTTTCTAATTTCATGCCAAGCAAACAGCTTTTAAAGTACTGCCCACACCCCCATTCTAGTTTTTAAAGTATTAAACAAAGCACTCCAAGCCAGGTGGAAAAAGAATTCTACACACTACTTAAAGTCATCCTTTAACATCAGTGCCCAATCAACTGGTGCTTCATAAGCTTACTAAGTGATGGTGCAAAACGTACCAACCAAATACTATCTCATCTTAAACACAGGTAACGCTTTCCAGTTATCATGCTAGCCATATTAGGAGACAAATTATCAGTATGCTAACAGAGGCCATTAATTATATAATGAATTACATGCAGTGCTGTGATGCATATAAAACCCCCACAATTTGGAGAACTGAATTAAAAGGGCAATATACAGCTTTTAGGAACCAGCAAATTCCTAGACATTGACTTGGGAAGCTATGTCCAGGGTAGTTATTATAACTTCCATATTCTGTAAAGAAGCTTAAACATACACGTTTGTGGTTTTTTTTGATACTAGAAGTTTGCTATTTCAAAGTAAATTGTTTTCCAACTGCTCACCACTATACATCAATATAATGTTATAAGCCATCACTTTTCATGGTATAATGATGATAATACATCTGAAATTCTTTGATTAAACCACTTGAGTAATGGCAAAAAGATCGGACCTTTCTAAACATAAAAATACAATGAATCAACATGTCATCTAAAGAAATGGCACAAACGTCATTTAATGTGATCACATCAAACACTATCCATCATTCATCTGTAAATCCACTTCATTATATCTAATACAACCTCCAAGTACTAACAATCAACCTTAGAAAAAAAACAGTCTTTTAGCAGCAATCTATCACATGACAAATAAAAGTATCTACAGCTTGGGTGGAAAGTAAGAATTGAATTTCTTTTGGATCAAAATTTAAACTTATTTTCAGTTTGGGAAATTTAAAAACAGTATGTTCTTGATTTAACTAACAGATATATAACAGAACTCATTCTGAAGAAGGGGAGAGGTAGAGGTGACTTGACTTACCTTATGTTTTTTAATTTCTGGTTGGTAAATCTATTCTTCCAAGAGCAGCCCTTTCAGAAAATTACAATTTCAGTTCCCCTCCTCCTAAAAAGTGAGATAACTTCTGACATCTTTACAGACACTGTCACTATTTTGACAACAATTCTGTATTCTGAGCTGAATAAAAAAACCCTGTATGACGAAAATGTAACAAATATCACATCCTGATGGAAAGCAGCATTCACATCCTTCTTGGAACTAGACAACGAAACTAAGTCATATTAATACTGGATAAATATTTAATACCGTTAAGTAAAGAAAGATTAGTAACACTATGACATTGCTATTTTCGAAAAAACTACTCACAAAATGGTCACTAAAATAATTTTGCTAAGAAAAAGTGATATGTACATGTTATAAAACATTACAAACAGGCAACTTTTCAGCACTGAATCTATTTTTCACTGAATTAAAAAACCTGGCCGTAATCTGAATACTCTTCTATAGGTTTATGTTCCCTAAAGGCACCATCACCAGGAAAAAAATTATAAAATTACCCTATATTAATCCAACAAATACATATGACAGAAAACAAGAAAATCATATCTTTAGAACTGCAGGGAAATGTATATGCCTTGGAAACCATTTGGGTGAAAGGATACAAGTTTTGGTATAATGGTATTAACGATTTCAATGCACGGCTTGCATTTATAGCTGTTGCACGAACCATAATAGGAAGAACTTTTCCATTCACAATAGCACCATCAAAGAGTGGACCAAAAAATGGAACCTGAACAAAAAATTAAGAAATTCAATATAAAGCAAGATCTTAGCTATAACAATTAGCAATCAACATTAACAATAGAGCACTCAAATATATCTTTTTTTCCCCTTCTCATTGCTAGATAATCAGACCAGTTATTGTGCTCCATGACAGACCTTTTCTCTTGTGGAAATATACAGCCATATAACTGGTTGATAACCTTGGTAACAGATAACACAGCATTTGAAGAAAATTAAGCAACCATTTGAATGCTATGTCTCATCAAAGCTAATTTCCAACATTTGCTGCCAAAATCCTAGGAACAGTCATACATACGATGTTTATGAGGTTGAAAGGCTAAATGACAATATTGTAGGTGGTAGTAAGCAAAAGGAATAATTACTCACATTTTTAAGTAATGGCTTTAGATAGAACATGTGCGTAAGGACCAACTCAGTGTGCAACTGCCATACAATTACGGGTGGACATAACCTCACCTTCCATTTTCTTTTATTCTTCTATCTGTTCTTCTTCCTTTCTATGGTATCCATAGAAATGGATTGTAAGCCCTTTACAGGAGAAATCTGTGGTGAAAGTTCAGCCTCTTTGAACCCTAAGTGGAAGGCCTTATTTGTGAGATCAGCAGAAAACCTTGATGTTTATTATAGGTAGCACCCAAACAGTTCACAGAACAGATGGATCTTATGTTTTGGCAATAATTTCTCTCTGATCAAGCATAACTGTCTAGTTAAAAAAAACACAAAAGAAACCAAAACAAACCCCTCTATTAAATATCTTAATTTCCCGTATGTGTGAATAAAGTTCTGCAGTTGCTAGCATAAGGCATGTGAAGAAGAGCAACGTTTGTGTATCAGGTCAGCAAAGGGAGCAGAGTGTACACTAAATATTCTTCCTGATCAGATGAAACCAATGCTGCAAAGGGATTTTAGATCCCGGTATTATTTTCTCCATCAGTCATTTAACATAGTTTTGAGAACACTAAAATCTGATAGAAGTTACATCTTCTTTCATATACAAGGACCTCTTCTTGGACTAACAACAATACCTGCTCTTAGTTTTCTTTTCCTTTTTAACCTGCACATTTCCAATAATAACAACTCTTTATATTTAAAATAGTAAAAGCAATATTAAAACTATACATAACCAGCAATAACAAGACGATGTACTGTGTATCATTTCATGCCTATTGTCAGATAAAGGCCGTCATCCTATAGGGGAACCCTATTTCTGTCATACCTCATTTATTACTATTACTGCTTCTAGAAAGAATATTTGAAGTATAGACATTTATGGCAAGTGGCTTCACACACAGAATGTATGCAGGTCAAACCCTCCTGACTACTTTTACTCAATCAGTATTTGCTACCCTAAACCACTGTTTTAAGAACATGGTCAGTACAGACATTTGAGGAACAGTCATTAGAAAAAGTGCTCATATGCCTAAGAGCTGAATGGCCTTGCTTTGCCTAATTAAACTCCAAATTTTTGTGTGGAGTCAAGGAGAAAGAGAAAACTAGCTTTCAGAAGAAAATATGACAGGGAGATGGATAAACTGGAGCAGACTATTATTTAACCACCACAGTCAGGTATCAAATTTGATAAAAAAGTTTGCCAAGTTTATCTTAATATTTAAATGATTATGCAGAATATTCTAGCTTTGTTTCCAGTTTATGATGTTAGCAGATACGCTTGACAGGATCAGGCCTTTACAATTTCAAGTTACTGGTTTTACTATGAATTGTGCGCTTCCTCTTCCTTCTACCATCACTGCAACTGTCAATGTTAAAGACACATCACCCTGTTGGATCTATGTATTACAGCAAAAACTCAGATTATGAACAAAATTCAGTTGATATTAAATATACAAATGAAATGTGAAAGAAAAAGAACCAAAACCACCTTACCTCAGGCTTTTTCATGATCTGGATACTGAACATATGGTTTTTCATGGGATAGATAACTATAAGAACATCACCAAATTCTGTTGGAATTATTCCTCTTCTGTAATCCCGAGTATGCTCTGACCAGACGATGTGTACTTCATCATTTCCTAAATGTCTTAGCTGGAATAGTAGGGATAAAACCCCATCAGTTTGAATATATTCTATAGCTAAACAGCTATACTAAATGCTTGCACTTCAAAAGAACAAACCCACTAAAAAGAAATGAAGAAAAATGAATAAAATAACCAATTTACACTATAGTTCTCTTACAATTTCCATGACAGTATTAGTTCACAGTATTGGTTTGTGTTACAGATTTTTATACATTGGTGCCAGTGTCTATTTAAATTAACAGGTATGTCAATTATCTGTTTTTCTACTGAATGTTAAAATTTTGTTGATATTATTCTCAAAAATGCAGAGTGATTAATCTTATTTATTAGAATGCTTTCTAGATTGCCATCAGAAACAGGCAGTAAATTACTGAATTATATATGAACTTTTAAAGTATATGAATGAATTTGTTTAAAAGCTGCATATCCAAGCAGTCTTTAACGTCATCATTTTAATTCCAAACTGCCTACTACTACAAAAAAAAAAAAAAAAGAAAAAAAACCCAACCAACCAACAAAAAACACCCCACTCCTGAAAAATCCCAAATAGTTCTTGACTTGGCTCATAATGGCCAAATGGATTTCTCAAAATGCATGCTGTACCCTCAGTTGTGATCATATAACCAGATTAAGGAGTATCTTGAACTCCTTGGAATTATCTGCACTAAAGCTCCAAAATGCTCCTTCTGCTAAACATTACCATCTGATAAACAAATGTTAACATCATGGAGAGAGGCTTTCCATATACTGATCAAATATATTCAGATTATTAAATGTGAGTTTCTTTCCAGTAAATGCTATTTCTGACAATTCAAGTTGGAATCACATTTTTTTTCCTCCTTGTGCATCACCAGTTATAGCTGACAGTTGTCTTTACCCACAGTTATCACTTTGTTTGCCCAGCTTTAGATAGGTAGAATTTGTTGAACAATTGCCTTGATAGTATTCAAAGGACAGCACTGTGAACAGGTAACATGCAGACACTAACCTGAGCGCTTACAAGAAGTTATTGTATATAAAAAGGCAACAATTTTCTGAACTCATTTACAGAATGTAACTGCACTTTAAATAACAGCAAAACAAACATGCAGTCATGAGAAAAATGTCATTGCAAGTATTCACTTGTTTAGATTATAAAACCTCCTGGAATGCTATCTCTGCCTTATCTGAAAGCTTACACAGGTCGTCCAGCAGCAGACTTAAACAAACAAACAAAAAAACCCAAAAAAGAAACAGGAAAAAAAGAAGCTACCTCTTCTCTGCTAGCTTGAAATTGTATGAGACAGAAAAACAAGGTGTTGGACTGGGCAAAGGATAGATAGCATCAATACCCTAAATCTTGTCTGATGCTTAACAAGTCATTTGTTTTGCCTGGACCAGATAATAGATACATCTAATCTACAATGACTGCAGCTCTTTCAAAGTGAGCTGTTCTTGCCTCTTTTGTAGATGGCTGAATTACTTTGAACAACACTTAGTTAGGGATGATCTTGTGCCAACTGTAAATGCAGCCCACAAAAGAACTGGTTAGAACAACTTTCACTACGCAGAGTTTTATTTGACTGGACTAGAACAAAACCAGGCAGCAACCTGAATGACTGATGTGCAATACACAAACACCAGCTGCAGAAACCTTGGATGACACCCAACAATGACAAACATCATAAAAGACAACCAACTGTGGAATTGTTCTGAGGGCCTGAACCTTTCACACTTTCAGTGGTGAAGTGACAGTCAAACTATCTGTTGAAATGTGACCATGTTGCTGTCTCTCCTTTAGGTTTCAATGAGCAGAGGTGGATGAAGGTAGGACAGCTCTCCTGCAAGCAAAGCAAACATTTGGAGAATCCATTATTTACTGTACTTGTTACACCACAGGAGAGCCAGAGCCTGACCTCTTTTAGCTGGATTCTTCATGTCTTTGTACTGAATTGGAAGCATCCTAGAATTCATGTCCTGAACACAAGTGGGACAAAAATACTGAGCTACAATCACCTCTGCTTAGTAAAACCTAAAAGAGGGACAGCAACGTGGTTTCCCAAGAAGTTGTGTCCTCAATGTTCTCTAGAAGAATCAGATTTAGTGCACACAGAATGAACAAATGCTGAGACTGAAATCTGTATCACTGGCTACTCAAAACTCACCACCAGCTGTGTAAAACTACATCTTCACACTGATTTCCTGACCTTGTCTTCTTAAATTTACAACTTCCTATGTGCCTACAGTAAGCAAAACACAGTGCAAATCCTTATTAGAGGTGTAAAGCACATCAATAATATAAATAATAAAAAGCTCTAAAATAATGTTATACTTTAAGTAACCTGTAATACGCTATAGCTGAAACACCTGGAACTAGAGGTTACACACCAGTATTCTAAAATGCTAAATACTGCATAAAATGCAGGTCAAACTGCTCTAGAGAGTTTATTATCTAAGTATAAGGCAAAACACAAAATTGAGAGGGACAAATGCAAAGGAACTGTAAAAAGGCATTAAAGCTTAGAAGAATATCTTTTATGGCAGCACTCTTCAAGAATGAAAGTGTCAAGGCCAGAGAAAGGAAGGTTCAGCAATCAAAACAACAGTTTAGTATATAATGGGTTAATTTTAACTGTGTGTATGGAAAGCCTATGTTGCAAGAAATACTGGGTAGAAAAAAAGAACAGTCTTAAGAACAATGTAAGAATCCTGAAAGTGGGCCAAATTAAAGATGATTTTAGGTTATGGGTACAAGTGACAGGCACAATGGTTGTATTATCCGTGGTGATCCATAAAGGTGGCAATGAGAGAGATTAAGAGCTCTGCTTTAGCCATTT